TTCCTTATCTGGTGAAGATTGACAGTGCAAGTGCATTTGCAAAGGGGAACTCTCATTTATTCAAATCTTATAATATTCAGAAAGTTACTCTTCTATAGCTAGAGGTATAGTCTGATTGCAATTCATATGCAGAAATCATGACTATTAGGTAACCTGTTAGAAGTCAGCAAAGCCTCATTAAGGAGAGAGGAGGATTAACCTAGCAATATTTAGTTAAAAACTGTTTCTAAAACTATTGTCTTCATTTGCAAAGTACTCTTAGGCATAGACAAATACCAATAGCCATTCTTTCTCTGAAACATGCAAAAATCTCTTGAAGCTCCATGCTGTCCATATTTTCCAAAGCTTGCCAAGCTGAAAGAGGTCACTGAATCTATTTTTATAAAAATAACATTCTTACACTAATAGCAAAAGATATATTAACTGCTCACACAAATTTGAATTCAAATTCTTATTAAATTAGCTTTTGAACTCAGAAAACAGATATAACTGAAGTCAGACTTACTCAGTTCGCCACAAGAGTAAAGCCAAGAAGAGCGGTTTGAAGAGCTCTGTGCTCCATGCTCTTTTATAAGATTCCTACAGCAGCTCCAGGGGCTGAGCCACACTTCAGGCATGTAGCTCTTCCTAGTTACAAAACAAACTTTCCTGCATTTGTCACATCAAGGGGTGGAGGGATCCTTGCGTGTTGTTTGCAGTTAAGCAATTATTAGTTGAATGGTATCACATCCATTTTGCAGCCTACAGAAGGCTTTCATCTCAAAACAGGGGCAGTGTTCACCCTTAGTTTCTTTCTACTCATTGCAGACATTTACTTCCTTCTTCCACTTCTCCAAGCTTCAAAGCTTCAAAAACTTTGACCAGTAGAACAGAAGATTGCTGATTTGACAAAACAGACTCATTTTTAAAATGATGTAGTGATTTTGTCATGCTTGGTGTAAAGGTTTTCAAACCTTTTAGTCACAAAGAGAAATGAAACTTAGAGACTTTTATACCACCTTGGCAATGTACCTTTCTGCTCCCCTTTTATCCCTACTCTATTTTTCCATCATAAGTAAAAATAAAATAGAAGTCTATAGATACAGCCCTCAGATGCTTCAGTTAACAGTGGTCATAGCTACAGAAAAGCAGCTCTGTGACGTAAGGGCCTTTCTGATGTTGGTATTGAGTTACTACAGCCTATTTTGAAGGGGTGGTGAAGAGGGGAAAGAGGGCTCATACGCTGCAGAAGTCTTCCTATCTCACTTAATTCCTGGTGAATATTATTGTACATTGCCTAGTTAAAAACATGAGAAAGGGCAAGAAAACCCTTGATTAGGATTGCTGTGAAGGAAGCAGTCTCATGCACAAGTTAATACAAAATGTATTGCTTCTAACAACTCCTTTGTCCTGGGACATGAAGTTCAGAGAGTGGACCTTGGTCTCCCCCTGTGCAGGAGTTTGCAACATTTACAACTGAAAAACTGTATCCAACTCCTTACGTGATGTAACAGAGTACAGATGAAAGCGAGTGATCAAACACTGGGGTCTTCCTGCACCTACATATCAATATGATGATCTTAAAGGATTTGTATGTCAAAAGTATTGTTTACAGCATTTAGTGGTTGAAGAGCTGAATTAGATTACACTATGATGCCCTTTTGACAGAAAAACTCATTTAAGGAACCATGTTTCAGCCCCACGATGAGCTGAACCTCCTGTGGATTTATCAGATGGCATGGAAATCCTGTTTTCTTTGCCATTTATTATAAACGGAGACATTATCCTGGTCTTGCTCCTGAACCTACTAGGAAAAGTAAAACCTGAAAAGCAAAGTAACATCAAGCCTAGACGCAGGGCAAGTTAAAGATATCTGGGTTAAGGCATGGTGGTCTGGAGCACATTTTCAGCATAACTTTTGGCAAGAACTTGGGGAGATGTTTCTGGATGGCCCTCATTGCCTTGCATGCACTGGGGCAAATCCAGCCTGCCCCTCTGCACTCACTGCAGGAGGCTGTCACTCTGCAGTGAATGAGGGGATAGTAATCCTTCCTTTCACCATACCTAAAACTACTTGGTTTCATTTACTGGTTCCTGGCGGCAGTGACTGTCTGAGCTCTCTATTTTCATGGTTTCTGGGCGACAACCTCATTTACATAAGCTGAAAGATAGTAGAATTATAATTACAAATAACAACACTAACAAGTACAAGACATGCCTGAGATCTCCTCCCAGAGGCTCACTTAATTGCTAATAGATGTTGCTAAATTATTTGGCCTCTGTCTTAATCATCTCTTTTAGAAATCATCATCAGTGATTGCCCATTTCATGTGGGTGTTACATTGGCTTGGACAGAGCAGTGTTTTACCTGCTGGGAAAAATGCAAAGGGGAAAGGCTAATTTGGAAGCAGAAGAAATCAGATGAAAATTTGTCTGTGGTGTTCACTTAAAGAATGCAGTGACCCATAAGATCAGTTTAAATTAAATGAGTTTCATGACCAAAATGTGTTTCATGACCCCAGGATTTGTCAGATCTGGAAGGCAGTAGCGGGGAGTCCTCATACTGGACTTTGTAAGTCTTGCGACACGTTCTCCTTGGTCCTGTAAAATACCTCTGGAATTAAATCCCTAAAAAGCCAGATGTATGATAATCGAGGTTGCTAATGCAACATTAACTGTTGTCTGAGTTAGGGTGTATCTCAAAAGGATGGTGGAAGAATGAGGGATGGTGAAGCACATCTATAATCTGGACATCTCCAATTTTTCTCTCTCTGTCTTTACAAGGTATTTACATTTCCATCCCTATGGAAATGACTGTGAAAACTGATCATCTGAAAGTCTTTAAGTTGCACACATACCCATGTTGCCATGACACTTGAAGGTCTGAGGAGCAGGCAGAGACAAGTTGCAGTTCTTGCTGTCGTGGAAGCATGGTAGGGTAGCAGAGCATTGTGGTGTGGGAAAAAATAAACCTGTATTTCCTGGTTTCTAGCACGTCCTGTGGGCTCAGCACCTTTAGGAGGGCAGGTCTACACTAGGCAGAGGTCTCCTGAGCTAAAGTGACCACCAGTTGTCCTTCTAAAAGGAAAGCAATGACCAGATGGTGCCTGACCTGTGCTAATTACTTTTCCTCCAAACCACTTCTGAACCATTATCTTTCTTTCTTCATCCTCACCCAATAGTCTTCTTCCTCAGACTTCAGAAATGGTCTCAGTTTACAGTGTCCTTTTTAACTCCTTCCCTGGAAATCATGTTTGTTTTGTGATCACACCAGTTTAGTTTCTGCCCATTTAATACATGCAGCCTTATTTCTCAATCTTGGTCTTTTTATGTATCAAGAGAATATAAACCCCTTGTTTTTCCACTGCTTTATAAACAGCCACTCATTTGTACAACACCCAAAGGAATTGAGTAATTTTTATTGTTGCCTTCTTAAAGGGATTATTAAAAGACTGAGGCGCTCAGCATACCAAGTCCTCCTTCTTTTATCTCCTGCACTGGTGACACTGAGTCAAAGATAAATGTTTGGAGAACTGTAAGAAACAAAATAGGAGATTGTCCACCTCCAAGACATGATGAGAAGAAAAATTCATGTCTGTGCAACACATTTACAGGAAATTAAGGCTGTGCCATCAGTGCCCTGAACATAACTGAGACAGACCCTGGTATGCCTCAGCCCAGAAAAATAATAGGACAGGTACAGGATGGCTAACACAGGTTTCTGAGATTTAACCATATTATTTCTGCACTTCTGTTCCTAAATAAAGTAAGCAATACACGTTGGTTATGAATTATTTAGGATTAGTACAGGTAATCCTTTAAGTCAAGGATGATCACAATGATAATCATAGAATCAACTATGTTCGGAAAGATCTTTAAAATCATCAAGACCAACCATTACACCAAGACTGCTAAGACCACCACTAAACCATGTCTCTCTGCCTTGGTTCTAAACCCAGTTACATTAGCTGAGAGCTGGGTATTGATTTCTGTGTTTCACATGTCAAAGTTAAAACCTGCCATTTAAACAGGGCACATCTAGTACCCCATTTTGCAGTACTCAGTTCTGGCAATTTGTAGCTAACAGTCAAATGCTGAATATGGACAATGAAATTTAAAAGGGTTTAAAAGTATTCCTTCAAAATGTCAAGTTTTCTTTCTCTCTAAATGAATTCCTGTGGAAAGCAAAAAAGTTAAGCTGAAATAGTAGTAGAAGGATTAAACAGAATACTGTGGCTTTGGAAAAGGCCTGAGACCTCCAATCACCAGCTCTGGCTTAGTATTTATAACAGTGTAAAAATTAAGCAAACACTAATATATGGCCAACTCATATAGAGATACCAGTTAAGTTATAATAAAGTAAGATAATTTGACAAATTAATTTGCATATTCATAGCAAAGTAAATCTTGATCTCCTTCTGTCCCCAATAAAGCCAACTGAGTTATAACTAAGGTGGAAATCCTCTCCCTTTGACATGCAAGTCTACGAGCAACATACCCATGATGAAAAGCCATCTGAGGTGGAGTGAGTTAGGAGAAACAATACGGACAACAATTACCTTGACTGAGTGACAAACAGGTCTGTTTGAGGGACAATGAGTACAAATGAGGAAAAGAATCGTTCAATTCCCCTAGGGCAAACCAAGAAGCAGTATAAAAGCACCTATTGCCCAGTGTCTTCAAACCACTTCTCTTCGAGAGTCCTTCCACTTCTGCTGTTCAACCAAGTAAGTCACTTTCTGGGGCAGGGGAGAGTTTGAGCTAACACGTCAGTTCAATGTACTTCTAAGAAATTCAGTTTAAGGAATGCTGTGACAAATATTTCAAGATATGAAATAGAGTAATAGAAAATAGTTTCCATTTTCTATATTTTATATTCTATAATAGAGTAAAATGCATTTTGTCTTTTTCACCTCTAACTCTAACCAGATTTTCCTGTGGCACTTGCTCTCTGAATGTGTTCTTCACTATCACTGCTTTGAATAAATGAGGGTTCTCCTTTGCAAGCACACCTGCACTGTCACCCTTCACCCATGCTCTCCCACACTCTGTGTTTCATTCAGGTTTACTTCCAGCCAGAAAGATGTCTTTCAATGGACAGGTCTGCAACTACAGCAGCTACTCACCCTGTGATGTGAGCTGCCCCGCGCCATACGCCAATGCCTGGAGCAATCAGCCCTGCGTGACCTCCTGTGGGGACTCCCGTGCCGTGGTCTACCCACCACCCGTGGCCATTGTCTTCCCAGGCCCCATCCTCAGCTCCTGCCCTCAGGAGAGCATCGTGGGCACCTCAGCCCCCCTGGAGATAGGCAGCTCCTTTGGATATGGGAATGCCCAGGATGTGCAGAGCTCCTTTGGGTCTGGCACCTCCCTGGGTGGCAGGTACTCCTACCCCTGCTACTCCCGCAGCTATGGGGTATACCACTCTGCTAAGTCTGGCAAGATTTCCCAGGATAGCAAGACCCAGCAGAAGCAAAACCAAAACAAGAGCTCATGAGTGAACAGTGGGATGTGGCTTTTAAAGAGGCAGTGAGAATTCTCAGGAACAGGACACGCTCATCCACCCTGAGAAACAAGTCCAGAATATCAGTTTCCTCTGTATAATAGATCTCTGCTCACTATGTTCTGGCTGTGTGCCCTTTTCACTTTGCTTTTTGTGTAAATCTAACAAGTCTGTGTTGTTCCATGCAATATTCCTGTGGTCTGATAAATTTCATTTGTCAGTTCCAATAAAATCCTTTCTGCATCACAATATTGTTTTCTGCTTTTATTTATAAGGTTTCTAAATCAATAGCCCACTGATTCTAAAATAATCCTCAATGACTAGTCTCCTGCATTAATTATGGTGTTGAAAGAAAATCCCAGACCTTGATATAGATCCTAAATGTTTTATAGCCATGGATGCTATACAAATATGCTATACAAATAGTACGGTAGTAGGGGGCCACAGGGGTGGCATCTGTTAGATGCTTCCTCCATGCTAGAAGCTTCCTCCATGTCCAACAGAGCAAATGCTGGCTGGCTCCAAGACAGACCCACTGCTGGCCAAGGCCAAGCTCATCAGTGATGATGGTAGCACCTCTGGAATAATGTATTTAAGAAGGGAAAAAAATGTGGAATGGAAACTGCAGCCAGAGAAAAGAGTGAAAACATCTGGGAGAAACAGCTCTGCAGACACTAATGTCAGTGAAGAAGGGGGGAGTGATATTTCAAGTGCTGGAGTGCAGATAACCCATCAGCCCATGGTGCAGACCATGCTGAAGCAGGATTCACTCTATATCCTATCCCATGGGTGATGATTATCCACCTCCTGAAAGTCCTGGAATACACAGGTACACCCAGGGTGTTATACTGGGGCATATGTGCTGTTGTGATAGGTAGCAGTAGACAGGCAAGTGCTTGTAGTACTGTGTCCAGTTCTGGTGTCCTCAACATAACAAGGACATGGAACTGTTGGAGCAAGACCAAAGAAGAACCATGAGAATGATCAGGGGCTGGATCACCTTCCATAGGAAGACAGGCTGAAAAAATTGGGGCTGTTCAACCTGGAGAAGGGAAGCCATGTAGAGACCTCAGAGCAGCTTCCAGTATCTGAAGGAGGCCTACAGGGATACTGGAGAGGGACCTTCAACAGGGACTACAGTGATAAGACTGTGATGGGTTTAAACTTGAACAGGAGAAGTTCAGATTAGATATAAGAAAGAAGTTCTTTACTGTGAGGGTGGTGAGGCACTGGAGCAGGATGCCCAAAGAAGTGGTGAATGCTCCATCCCTTGTAGTGCTTAAAGCCAGGTTAGACAGGGCCTTGGGCGACATGGTGTGAGGTGTTCCTGCCCATGGCAGGGGGGTTGGAACTAGATGATATTAAGGTCCTTTCCAACACAAACCATTCTATGACTATGAGGTAGTATGCATGCCTGTCTGTCTTTTGGACACCAGCCACTGAGCAAACCCCACTGGGAAGTGCTCCGAGAATGGTCTGGCTGTTACCTCGCCCTGCACAAAGCCAGCTGCCAGGCGGGCGCAGGTGTGGCTTCCCCCAGATGGAGACTACATGGTTAGGAATGCAGATCTCACTTGGGAAGACAGCATTTTCACAACACCCCTGCAGTCTAGGTGGTTGTTACAGGAAAGACAAGATATCAATGCAGAGTGTTTTTCTTTGCATCGGTTTCCAACTTGGAGGAAGACTTGGGAAGGAAAATACAAGTGTGCCTATTACTGCCATTGGTACAATTAGAATTTGGGTGGGTTTTACTTTCAGCAGTAGGTCCTTCCCTTCCAGGCCAGAGAAAAGGCAGAAAATCTTTCTCCATCCGGAATAAAATAAAAGTGGAAGGAAAAATACACTTCTATAGAAGGGTCATAAAGGGCAAGAAGCTACTGATGCAGCCACTTGGCTCATGGGAGGTGATCTGTCACCATTAAGTCCACAAGGATCACTTAAGAGCAAAGGAAATTCTGTCAGAATGAAGCCAGAAGTAAGAAAAGAGGAAAGCAAACCATTTAAAATCCCAGCGGTCTGTGCCTCCCCCACCTACCTGCCTTGTGCTCATTCTGATTTTCTTTTATTCTTTGCTGTTTATTTTTCTACCCTGCATTTGCTTCAACTGTTTTTGTTAAATCAGCACATAAACCTATCAGAGGTAAGCATACTGGGATTAAGACAAATAAACTGACAACTGTTTAAGATAAATAAACAGAGAATGGAGTATCTGTGCAGGAATATCCATTTTTCTCCTGCCAGACCACAAAAAAATTTACTCAGGAGAGGGCAGGGACAGGAATGTGGCCACAAACTCCCTGCTTAGATTTACTCAGTGGGTTGAACCACTCAGGCACTTTGAAGATGTATATAATATTTCCTGCTGTGTAATCCTTAGCCGTCTTTCCATAATAGTACTTAGATGCACATTTTGATACTGTTTTCCTTATTCAACTCTCAGTATCAGCTAAAGATCTGGAAGTGGGGATGGTACGGGTCTATGGTGTGAGACAGATGGCTCATCTCTGCTGACTGACCTTTCCTTTTTCCTCCAGATAGCCCCTAAATGGTTACAAACAGCCTATACCCACTTAAAACACCTGAATAGCCCCTGATCCTTCATAAAACCATAGACTGGTTTGAGTTGGAAAGGATCTTAATCTTAATATCATCTAGTTCCAACCGCCTGCCATGGGCAGGGACACCTTCCAGGTTGTTCCAAGCCTCATCCAACCTGGCCTTGAACACTGCTGGGGATGGGGCAGCCACAGCTTCTCTGAGCAACCTGTGACAACACCTCACCACCCTCACAGTAAAGACTTTTGTCCTTATATATAACATGAATTCTTCCGAGAATTTTATATCAAAGCTCGACATATGAAACTAAGGTTGTCTACAGCAAAATACTTTCAAATTTAGCAATTATGTAACTATTTAAAGATTACAGATAAAGATTAACCCATATGAACATAAGAGCAACAAGGTACCCTAATCAATCTGCTGCTGACATCGAAATCTCTGCCTAACATCTCATAAACAAGTTTTTACAGACTGCTTCAAGTTCAAAAGGCTTCCCTAAAGGTAGACTCATGTCAAGCTCTTACAAGAATCATGGTTTTAGCAGAATATATGGCTAGCAATTAAAGCTGCTCTTCTATCTGCATTTCCATACTTGGGAAACTATCAAGTAAATTTAATTTTAGCCAAGTTAGCAGGAATCATATAACAAAAGGAGTGTTCTGGAAAGATTTGACAATTGAGAACAGTTTTCCACTTTTCTTAAACTCTTTGTGTATAGAAACCCACCTTGCTCATGAGAATCTGCTGCTTTACCAACTGTTATTTGTTGCATATTCAGCTCATGTTGATGATGCAAAAACTTTCTGACTTATCCTAATTACTCTGGTGTTCTCTGCTTCATCATGTTACACAATGCTACATCTCATGGTTCATTTCCGTTCACAACTTCAATGACCAGGTCCTTCCTGGTATCAATCCACTCCCTTTGTTGGTTTTGGGTGAGAATGAATCAAGCTCCTCTTTTGTGGTTGTTTTACTTTAATATCCTTCTCCATCTTAAGTAATATTAGGCATCTGGCTTCATGGTCCATGATGCCACAGTATGTCCCATGACATTTACTGCTGACAGTCTGTGAGCTGAATGCTTTGCATCCCCCCAGATAACTGACCACTGCCAATCTGACTGATTGCTGTGATGTACACAGGAATGTTAGGAAGAGTTGAGAGTCTGGCAATGACAGAACATAAATGTTAATCAAGAATCAAGTAGTTGAGCCCTGATGGCCACTGTGTCACTGCTACTTAAAGTCTTGCCCTGTGGAATCCTGTTAGAGGGCAATGATAATAAAAAAAGGTGGCGTTTCCCCTCTTGCTATGTGTCTCCTGTACCATATGGATTAAAAGAAAAGTTGAGGGCTGAAGCATTTATTGGTTTCTCAGGACCAATAAGATCCTGATTAAAGACTTCTTCTGGAATGATCATGTGCTCTATGCCATGGGATTCTGAAAACAAGGCTGCCTGTGACCAAGAATACAGATATTGCCCAATTTTGAAGATACTGAGCCTTGGAAAGAAGACATGCACAGGAGGGACAGCTAGATGCAAAGTTACTGAGTTGGAGTATATTGCTGAATGATTGTTGAAATCATTGTACAGCATATAATATAAGCTGAGATCAGCTAAATTTAGTTGGTGCAGATGGGGGCCTGGTGTCTACATCTGGAAAGCAGTTTGTCCTGGAGTACACACAGAAGTAACTGTAAAGATTGGGGGGGGGAAGGAGGTGAATAAACAGCATCTCTTAGCACAGTCGGAGCAAAGCCTCTCTTCAGACCATAAAACACCCCTTGCTTTGGCTGTTGGGGTGACGGGAGGTGTATAAGGTTTAAAATCAACAATGTTTCTACTCTGAGTTTTCTGTCTTACGGTGAATTGCCCAGATTTGCTAGTTTGCTGGTGCCAGCAAGAGACCCTTTCTAAGCAGCTTTCTAAGTGGGGACATGAAGCAGGCAAAACAAGTAGATTTGCACCCTGGAGCTTCAAGGTTAATAATCTGTCCTCTTTCTCTGAGTGAATTTTAAAATAAAAGAGATATAAAATACAACACAGTTGTCAAGGAGATGGTTTTAACTTAGCTGAACTACCTCTCATTGCTGCTCATAGAGGCTGAAATCTGATGAATCTAAATATGATCAAAAAGTTTAGAGAAGGATGACGTAGTAAGGTGTAATGGAAAACTGGGAATTGCCTAATAACTTCCAACAGTGAGCAAAATGATTATATGCTGCGAGGTGTTATGTGTAATAGCTTCCTTTCTGAATCTAATCAAACATCATGCACAAAGGGCGTCTCAGATCCTCCAGACTATCCCAGGAGCAGTATAAAAGCACACACTGCTCACATCTCTCCCAACAGCTTCTCCCGACTTCTCCTCTGGAACTTGGGTAAGTTTTTAATTCTTTGTGCTTTTTTTCATGCACTTTTTATAATAACTCTAACTGAATCCTACATAGATGTCTTCCATGACACTAACAGGGCTTGCCTCTCTGAAAAAGCAGCTTCA